ATTATAAACTTGGATACCTTGGGCATTTGAAGAAAAGGAGGGATAGGATAAATCATAATGCCAAACCATATATTGCACCACCCATTTCAAAATTGCAGAGTAAAAAATTGCAGAGTAAAGTATAAGTACTCGTATTGAAGAAAAAAGAATGATACTATAACCCAATTTACCGATTTAGAAAGTGTGAAAATCACAGTAACACCATGTATTTTTAAGAAGAGAATACTGAAACCTGTGGATATAGAATTAGAGTGTGTGGAGAGGAGAGTTTGACTAGAAAATGTCAAGAACTTCTGAGATGGAATTGTTGCAGAGAGGGCAACTTCCCCTTTGAACCCAGAGCTCCCTCGAGCACCGCCGGCAAAATGTGTGTCCACAGGGTATAAACGCCGCACCCTTGTGTCTAACCATGCACACGCAACAACGGTCTACAATTAACTTGCCACCGCCAGAAATCTCCTCTCCGGCTTCTCCATCTTCTTCTTCCGGTATGCCAGCTGCACTGTCCATGCTCATTTCCCTGTCAGTCTCTGCAAGCAACGCCATAAGTGAGAGTCTTGCCGGTTGGTCATCCGTGGTGCTTTCGCCTGGTAAATCGCCGTCGGAAGCCTCTGCCACCTCGAATCTCGAGGTCCTGTCACCCACAGCCCGACTAGAGCTCCTCTGCAGCATCACAATCAGAGTGGTTGACCCCGGCGATGTCGTCACTTCCGGCTGAATCAATCCGCGCCTCGGGGTCTCCCCCTCGGGGGAATTATTCGCAGGAGAAACCCGCGCGGGATGTGACGTCTGCCGTCGAGGTGGTGTATCGGCGGCAAGTGCGGCGGCGGGGAACGAATCGTCGTCGGCAGAGGACCAGGCGGACCCATGGATCCTTAAACAGAGCCTATCTGTGATGTGTTTCCATGTCTTCCGGCTCGCCTTGCTCGCGAACGGCTCAGCCCGTATGATATCGAGGAGAGTCCGGTGCGGTAGCGCGGCCGTACTCGATCTAGGCTCTCTATCCAAAACAGCGCCTAGGGTTAAACCGCTCAAATTGCTACTTCCGCCATTACGGCTGCTCGCCTGTTTCACTCTGAGAAAGTCTCCCAGGTTTGGGGAATCGGGCTTGTATTCCGCCGTATGGATCCTTCTCCGGCTAAATCCACCGCCACTGGTCTCCATTAGCGACTACAATATTCGATACTAATCCAGAAAACAATCACCGGAGGAGCGAGCACCAAAATCTTCCTAAAATGAAAAAGAGGAAAAGGACTGTTACATCACTCGATTCCCCTGAGATTCAAAAATAACAAAATACGGACTACAAAATAGCACAATTCGTGAAATGTGCACGAGAAATTGAACTTTCTACTCGGAACTACAGGATCGGATGCAATGTTTGAACAATCCAATAAAATATACAACAAATTTAAACAGCTCGAGAGATATTATGCTGTAATTGAACAATCCATCAAATCTAAACAAAAACAAAATGTAAAAGAGCGGCGGAGAGATCTACGATGCAAATATTGAATTCCGAAGTTTGAAACATTCAACGCAAATGCAAGTTTTTTATCTTAATCCGAAATAACATAAACAGTAAGAGCAGAGTATAAGGAAGAAGAGGAGTACAGGTGAAGGCGAAGGATTCGGTTTGCGGCAAAGCCATCAAATCTGAGATCGGAAGAGATTGAACGAAACCACTTGGGGAAACTTTTTCTTGTTATAGACTTGTAGAGAGAAAAAATTAATACCCCATATTCAAAAAATAAACATATTATTACTAATAATAATTTTCCAGAAATAGGAAAAGGCAGACGAATACGGACGAAGGAGACCGACGATTGAGAGGAAAAGTATACCTTTTTGTCTCTCTCTAACTCTCTTCTCCCGAGTCCTCCAGTCATCCACAGTGCCCCATTTTTCTGTTCGTTTTCGGTGCTTATTCCTTTTTTTATTTTCTAATAATGACAAAATAAATATACTCAAGAAATCCCTTTTTTTTAATTTTATGATATGATGGTAATTCTAGTCCTTTAAAAAATGATGGTAATTCTAGTATTTATAGTTTTATGTAGTTTTGCAATTAATGATTATGAATTTTAAAATATTACTGGAAATACTTGGAATTTCACTAGATATGAAAACTGTTAGAATGTTATACTACTTACTACGTATTTATTTATCTTTCAATAGACATTTGATAATTTTATTCGTTTAATAGCTTTTCAAAATGAGATGAACGTCATTATTATAGTGTGAAGGTAAAGGATTTTGCTTATTCAATATTGTTTTGCTTCTGGGGGCTAGATCTCTTGAACAAAGTTATACAAGGTTTTTTTGTATATTTTTTGAAGATTCGGAGATTATTTGTTTATTCTCTATGATATCTTACTCCGAAAGCTTTGTACCTATTTACTCCTTGCTTTGATAATAAGATTTAGTATTACTCTTCTTCTTGGTCTAAGATTCATTATCCTGAACAAGAAAACTTTGTTAAGGACTTGAACTTACTCAAAAATGATTTGTGTGTAGGATTAATAGAGGTTAACGAGAAGAAAGAACGTAGAATATAGGCAGTTATTGAAGAAATACCACTTCAAATAATTTTTCCTTACTACTCCTTCTGGTGACCCACTTGCAGCCATTGTTCTAAAACTTGCTAGAAGCTAATCGGGTGATTGAGGGGCGTTTAGAGCCTAGGCGGCCGACTAGACTGTTTTTTTGGCCAACTAGCCCGACTAAGCCTCTACGGTTAGGGCCGCCTAGACCGATTAATCGGTCCGCCTAGGCCGATATTTAGAATAGTGCTTGCAGCTATTGTTGAAGCTATTTACACATCACTTATAGAGCACATGAACGATATTTCTTTTTTCAGCATAGGGTTGTATTGACACCAAGGAATGATGTTGTTGACGTTATAAATAATTATATGATGTCATTGCTTCCCGGTGAAATGAAGACATATTTGAGTTTTTATACTCCGTGCTACCTTATCGGGAATCAAGGCTCACCAGACGATGTGCATACTCCCGAGTTCTTGAATACCATCAATGCATCTAGTTTGCCAAATCACCAATTGAATTTAAAGACTGGTGTCCTTGTTATGCTTGTTCGAAATATTGACCAGTCTTCAGGGTTATGTAATGACACTTGCCTTATAATCACATAGATGGGTAATCATGTATTGGAGCGGAAGATAATTTCTGGAAGCAACATTGGGGAAAAGGTCTTCATTCCACGATTATCATTGGTTCTATCTGATACGAGGATACCTTTCAAGTTCCAGCGTAGGCAATTTCCGGTCATCGTTTCTTTTGCCATGACCATAAATAAAAGTCAGGGTCAATCGTTGAAGCATGTGGGGATCTATCTTCCTGAACCAGTTTTCTCACACGACCAGTTGTATATGTGGCTTTGTCTAGAGTCACATCAAGAAGGGGTTTAAAGATTCTACTATGCAATGACAAAGGGGAGCAAGTGACATCAACGAATATTGTTGTTTATAAAGAAGTGTTCCAAAATTTATCTTAGGTGATTTATAAACAAATAAATACAGTTTTTACATACTTGCTATATAATTTATATCTTTAGTAGTTAATTTTATTCTTACAACATGTCAACTATTGTAATACATGTAGGCATGTTGCGTGTTGTTCACATCGCTACACAACATCATTGAAGCACATACTTTGGGCATCATGGTTAAATTGTTACTATTTCTTCAGTTTTTTTATAAAGTAGAAAATTATAATTTTTTATCCATAGCGTGATCATTGATTGGTTTACTAACACTAAGTATGAAATGAGTATGTAAAAAATATTTAATCAATCACTTTTTTATCTCATTAATGTGTATTGAGTATTCCCATGCAACACACGGGTACATCGTCTAGTTATTACGGTGTGAAGGTAAAGAATTTAATTTTCTTATTCTATATTGTTTTGCTTCTGGGGCTAGATCTCTTGAACAAAGTTATAAGGGAATCTTTCGCAAATGGGCAAAAAACGGAAGTAATGTCATTTTTTTCCAAGTTTAAAAGATTTTTCTGAAATAGACAAATTGAAGTTTTCTTTTCAAAAAGAGACGTAGGCGGTTAACGCCTTTATACTGGACTCCGCTCCCACTTGCTCCGTGATACTCAGGTATCCTAATTACAAACACTAAAAACATTATACTCCCACTTGCTCTAACTAATATTGAAGTCACGCATTTTCATTTTTTAGTGTAATTGAAAACTAACAATTAAAAGCATAATAATATTAAGAAGAAAAGTGGTTCTGTATGTAAAGATGTTAAAAAAAATAAAAAATAAAAAGTTAGAGAAAATTGAGTAATTATAAACTCAAAAAATTAGTAAGACAATGAAAATTAGCAAAATGGTAAAAAAGAATATAAAAATAAAATAAATGTAAAAAAATATGCGTAGTATATATTTATTTTTCAATTTTGAACATGCAAACAAGGAAATGAGGAATGTAAATGTAAACATTTAGTAGTCAGAAATGTGGGAGAATTCTGCAGTTTTGTAACACAATTTTTAACATTGCTAATATAATATAATATATATAGTAATATAAAATATGTCAAAAATATCAAAATTTTAAAGTTTGTTAAAAGCAAAAAATGTAAGGAAAAACATAAATATAAGAATATTAAAAATATAAATATTTTTAAAATTTAAAAAATTGTAAATTAGATCTAAAAACTAATTGAAAATGAGAAAACAATTAGGAAAACAAGATTTTTTTTTTTTGAAAATACAAAACTCTTAAATGAAAAGGGTAAAAAAAAAAAAAACAAAGTCAAATTTAGAGAAAATGTCAAAAAATACTAAACGTGACCTTTTTTAATAATGTTTCTCAGTGTTGTTTTTTGTTTACTATTTTAGACAACTTTGAATATCTTATTTTTTATTGTTTATTTATGTTTCATATTGTTGATTTACATGGTGCAATTTTTTTTAATAATGGAAAAACTAAATAACTATCAAAATTGTAATTTACAATATCACAAAGGGGCATACTTGATACTTCTACTTAAGCCGCAAGAGCATAAAAAGTCAATGTTTCATGCACTATCATAGTGCACTAAATTACAATTAAAACAACCTCAAACAATTTTCCCAGTGTATAATCTACCCAAAGGAACTACCAGCAGTACCATCTAATCCGCATAATCTAACCGGCAGAGTCTGCCCAAAGCAACATCATCACCATCATATAATCTGCATAATCTGACTGGGAGAGACTGCCCCAACAGCAGCAGCATGCACTCCACAATTACTCCACCTCTATCACCAAAGTACAAGGCAAATCACCACTCTACAATTTGCATATCAGTACATACTTGCAAAACTCCTAACGCAGCACCATATAATCAAGAAAATAAACACGGAAACTGCCATAAAAATCAATAGAAATGGCAGGAGACCGTTTGAATAACACCTTGTACAGCAATAGTTTAATATGCAAAAATGGAATCATAGGTGTATGTCTACTGCCTACTGCCTACACACATCTACATATCAAACTACCACATACAAATGGAATCATAAATAAAAATAAACAACAAAGATACACAGTTGAAGATGATAAACAAGAAGCAACATAATGCAACAAAAAGAAACACGATACAACAAAAAGAAACAATTAAAAAACAATAAAAGAAACAAAAAGAAACAAAAGCAACAAAAAGAAACAAAAAAATGAGTTTGTGAATTTTGTTTGCAATGGTGGATAAAAAGATAAATTAGTAAAATAGAAGTAGGTATATCATTTTTCTGATATTTCATAATCATCTGATTGGAAATATATATTCCTTCTTTAATAGAGACCACAGACCACAACATCAACAAGGTTAAGTAATTTTAAAAAAATAGAGCCTGGCATATTTATATAGAATATACAAAGTTTTTAGGAGCTTGAGAATTACTGGAATTGCTCTTTTATGTTGACAACATCTTCTGCAAGTTCAGAAAAAACAATTTGTTGAATTCATGTACAACTCCATTCTTTTAATGCAATTACCAATTAAAAGACTCAAAGCCAGAGTCAATTAAAATCTGATGTGTATTACAGATTTTAAGCTGAACAGCCCAATCTTTTCAGGGCAATGTTTGAGACTTGAGAGGAAAAGAATTAAAGACAGTGAAAGTTGAGTCATTAGAAGGATGGTCATCAGAAACAGTTTCATGCATGAAGTCAGTAGACAATTCAGATTTCTGCTTTGTACTATGACTACTATCATCTCCATTTATGATATGAGCTTCTGATTCTTTAGCATTTACATCACCCTTACTGTTCTCATAAATCCCAGTAACAACCATCATTGATGGTATTTTTTCAAAAAGGTTTGTAGTCTCGCACAGTCTAGTCAACCTAAAAACATAAGTCAATTCCCTCCATTCCAAACACAAACATCTAGTTACAAAGCATATCTAGTTACAAATTAAAACATAAGCCAATTTCCTCCATTCCAAACATGCACAGTCCCATCACAAGAAGCTACTCTACTAAAGGATGTCAATATACAAATATCATTCACAACCTTGAAAAAGATGAAGAATAAAATGGAATTTTATGATGTGTAATTTAATCCCTATTAACAATTAGTTGTGCTAAATGTTATCAACATAAATAAGGTTCACAAAATTATTAGTGAATAAAATAGGAGTCACTGCAATTTGATTCATCATCTGGTTTATCCTCATCTCACTTTGCGGCTAGCCTCTTATTTTCTCACTACTACATTTGAATCCATTTTCCTCCTAATATACAAAAATATTGCAGCAGCCAGATTTGAGATTAAATGAACCAATGTTCCTCAAATCGTAGATAACCTGTAGCGAAAGCTTATCAAATCTGTGGAATTCAAAAGGTAGAACTTTAATTCCTAATTGAACCAACTTGTCGAGGAAAAAATCAATTTCTATAGTCACTTAAAGTTGTAGCTAGAGAAGATATTATACTTGTTGAGAGGGGTATAGTTCAGAATGAATACAACCATCGTTGTTTCTATACCAATTCCAATATGGAAGAAGGCAACACTGATTCTCAGAGAGATGACTAGCAACTCAGAATGAATACGGCCATCGTCGTTTCTTACGGCTTTGCTCAAAAGCACTACTCAGCTACAGTGTTAAAACAACTACTCTGCTCTCTATTCCAAGCCTGGAGACCGCCCGATCGATTGCCAAACTGCCTGACGATGGCGGGACGAGATATCCGAACATAGATCCATCGGTGATGCCCAATCCCGGCCATGGGATCCACTTCTCTGAGAAGACAGTTGAAAGTCATGCACCGGTGTCACGCCCCAGACCGCAATCCAAGCGCGTGTACAACCGCCGTATAACTAAGTGACGTCACCCACGGGTCAACCTCACTTAATTACACAAGGCGTTCGAGAAAACAATCCATCCATACTCAGTAGTAAACATACATAACAACATCACATTTAAACCAATGAATAGCGGAAATATTCAACGGTAAGTCATGGACCACAACCGGCCAACAACATCGGCATGCAAGCCCCAAAAATAGTTTATGGTAAAATAAATATCCATGAGCAAGTGTTCGGTAGTTTGAACGAAAATAAGGAAGCACGAACCACGTCTCCCTGATTTGATATCACCCGTGAGAAGGTGCAAGTAGCAAGCTCTAGCTTCAACCTGAAAATGGTGGGGCCCCCCGAAGGGGTCAGTACAAGTACCGAGCGAGTAGCAGGCTAAATATAGAATAACTAGCGTTTCAAGTATAAGACCCAAACATAGGGTGATACTTAAATAAATAGTCTTTCCCCCAAGTTATGAAATACTTATTAGTATATTTATACTTGGAAAATATCCGATCCGTAGATCACCGTTCATTTGGGAAAAATAGTAATAGTCAATATTCTTGACCAAAAACCCCAACCCACCCATATACCTATGAGTGTATAGGACTCCTCCCTTGTCCCTATTTGTATATCATAATCTATGAGTTTTAGGATCATAATCCTTGGATACTCCACCGGTTTGTGAGTGTTAAGGACTCATAAGTCCTAGGGTCCTCCACCAAGTTTTGAGTGTTAAGTACTTTTTAGTACTAGGGTCCTCCACCAAGTTTGAGTGTTAAGTACTTTTTAAGTACTAGGGTCCTCCACCAAGTTGAGTGTTAAGGACTTTAAGTCCTAGGGTCCTCCACCAAGTTTGAGTGTTAAGTACTTTTTAAGTACTAGGGTCCTCCACCAAGTTTGAGTGTTAAGTACTTTTTAAGTACTAGGGTCCTCCACCAAGTTTGAGTGTTAAGTACTTTTTAAGTACTAGGGTCCTCCACCAAGTTTGAGTGTTAAGTACTTTTTAAGTACTAGGGTCCTCCACCAAGTTTCCTATGATCAACCTCCTATCAACCTAGATAGAGTCTATATCATCCTTAGTTACTCATAACTAATCCAATACATAAATCTTATGTATCACAATCCATGCAAGCCATGCATTTATATACATGTATAATTAACTAACATCAACCGATATTAATTAATCCATCATTCATCGGTCAACGTTGTCGTTGACCGCCAATTCAAGCCTTGTACATATCAACTAAATCACCATATGATTAAGTTAATAATACTCATTTGTGCTTCTTTTACACTTCAAGCTAATATGCATTTTATATAATTCCTCATATCATATTTCATGCATAAACAATTAATTCTTTTCATACAACTTAATAATGTTGGCTAATCACATGTTTAAATATCTTTTAAACATCATTATGAACACATATAACATTTATTTAGGTAATCTCATAATTAACCCAAAAGTTATAAGATATTAAGCCGTCCACTCACCTTGAACTAGCGTTATGAAGTTCTACCCCTCTTGGTTGAACTCCGGTGAAACTCCGGCGACTTTCGGTCAACTCCGGCGACAACTCCGGCGACTTTACCAACTTTGTGAAATCACTTGAAATACCCTTTACAAGTGCCTAACAAGGTTTTATAATCATAAAACCCATATTAATACAAGTAACCTCAAAACGGTTATTTTCCGGTGAACCGGTCGTTTTGGCTTCTAAGTCCGTTCTTGGACATAGAATCACTTTCCAACCCATTAATCCATACTTATAACATGTAGAACCCTCTCAAGGATTCTTCACATGATATATATCTCATATGGTAGAAGAAAAATAAAGGAGTAGTTATAATAAGGTCATTACCTTAGTTATTTCACACTTTTAGCACTTTAGCTCCTTTTTGGGTGATTCTTCCTTGATGATTTTTCTTCAACAATGGAGGAAGGAGGCTGGGTGGTTTTTCTTGCTCTTCCTGGGTTCTCTTGGCCGAAAATGAGGGTGGGAGAGGGGTGAGGCTTACCCCTTTGTCTCATTGAACAAATGGGTGTGGATGGGGGGCCACCTCATTTTTGTTTGATGCCTTTTAGATCATGTCAACCTCTCCCTCCCATGCCTTCCTCTTCAAACAGCCGACCAAGCCCTCAATTTGAGTGGCAAAAATCGTGGGTTGGCCCCCACCCATGTGGGAGGTCAACCCTTTTTGCCCCGACGTGTACAATTTGTCCCGAAAGTTGTATTTTTTCGGACTGTTTTAAATATATTTTATTTTATCGGGTCAAATAAAATATATTATGTGCTCTTACTCATTATGACATGTATAATGAATATACATTCCCCAACTTTAATTTATAAGCCTCCGAAATTCAGTTCGGGCTGTTATCAGTTAAATTACCAGTACTGGTAATTTGGGCTTCTTTTGACCAATCGGTCAACTCCGGGCCTTTCCATGGCCCAAATGAAATATCCACCACTACATATTTATTATCTAGACCATGATGAATAAAATGTATGGTCTCGGGAAAATCGGGCGGCCCCCGCTCCCGGTGTGGGTCCCACGTGCAATTTACTATTCACGCGAAAGAATAAATAAAAATTTACAACTTCGTAAATTCATAAATCATTCCATAAGGTTTATTACATCATTTACATAAAAGTAAATACATTTGGGGACGGTGTTACAAGTTCACCCCCCCTTATTTGGGATTTCGTCCCCGAAATCCGTGTGTCTAATCGAAAAGAAACGGGTATTGCTCCCTCATTGAGACCTCGGTCTCCCATGTTTCTTCTTCGACTCGATCACTCCTCCAAAGAACCTTTACCATAGGAATCTCCTTATTCCTAAGTTTCTTCACTTGTTGACCCACTATCTTCACCGGCTCTACCGCATATTGCAAATCCTCACGGATCTCTACTGGCGGTTTCTCAAGAATATGAGAGGGATCCCGTATGTACTTCTTGAGCATTGATACATGAAACACATCATGTATCTTCTCAAGTTCCGGCGTTAACTTGAGACGATAAGCCACGGCTCCAATCCTTTCAAGGATCTCAAATGGACCAATGTATCGGGGGTTAAGCTTTCCCCTCGATACAAATCGAATGATGCCCTTCCAAGGAGAAATCCTTAGGAAGACCTCATCACCGACTTCGAACTCCAACGGTCTCCGCCGTTTATCAGCATAACTCTTCTGTCGGTCCTGAGCAGCCTTCAATCTATCCCGAATGATCCTTACCTTGGCCTTGGTAATCTCAACCAGCTCTATCCCTTCGAGTTTGGCCTCGCCAACCTCGTCCCAACACAACGGTGTTCTACATTTCCTCCCATACAATGCCTCATATGGAGGCATGCCGATACTTGCTTGATAACTGTTGTTATAAGCAAACTCCACTAGGGCCAAATGCTTGTCCCAACTTCCTTGGAACTCCAAAGCACATGCCCTAAGCATGTCTTCCAAAATCTGTATCACCCGCTCGGACTGTCCATCCGTCTGTGGGTGAAAAGCTGTGCTAAACTTCAGTTTAGTACCCAGCGATGCTTGAAACTTTGGCCAAAATCGAGATGTGAATCGTGGATCCTTATCCGAGACAATGGATATCGGGACTCCATGTAATCTCACAATCTCCTCCGTGTAAAGCTTGGCCAATCTTTCAAGAGGATAAGTAATGTTGATAGGCAAAAAGTGTGCACTCTTGGTGAGCCTATCAACCACTACCCAAACTGCATCATAGTTGTTCACTGTTCGTGGTAGCCCCACCACGAAGTCCATGGTCACGTGCTCCCACTTCCACTCTGGGATGGTGAGTGGCTGCAAAAGCCCTGCCGGGTGCTGATGCTCTGCCTTAACTTGCTGGCAAGTAAGGCACCGACTCACATACTCAGCAATGTCTCTCTTCATACCTGACCACCAGTAACTTTCCTTCAAATCTCGGTACATCTTAGTACCTCCTGGATGCATAGCATAAGCTGAAGAATGAGCCTCCTCAAGTATAGATTTCTGGAGTTCCTCATTCCTTGGTATGCACACACGATCCTTAAACAATAACAGACCGTCATCACGTACCCGGAAGTTCTCAACGGGCCCCGCAAGGATCCTTTCACGGATCTTCTGACATTCCTCATCCATGGCCTGACTTCGACTAATCTCGCCCAATAGGGTGGGCCTAACCTCAAATTGAGCAATGAGAGCCCCGCACGTGGACACCTCCACGCGTGCCCTCAATGCCTGCAGACAAGTAAGTAACGTCCCTGACGTACTCTTCCTGCTCAGTGCGTCGGCCACTACGTTGGCCTTTCCGGGATGATAGTCGATGATCAAGTCATAGTCCTTGATCAACTCCATCCATCTCCTTTGTCTCATATTCAACTCTTTTTGAGTGAATACATACTTCAAGCTCTTATGATCGGTATAAATGTGACACGTTTCCCCGTAGAGATAATGCCTCCAAATCTTCAATGCAAACACTACCGCCCCCAACTCTAGGTCGTGAGTAGGGTAGTTCACCTCGTGTTTTCTCAATTGCCTAGAAGCATAGGCAATCACCTTACCGTTTTGCATTAGTACACATCCAAGCCCTTGGATGCTAGCATCGCTGTAAATGTCATACCCTATCCCCTGTATGGGTAGGGCAAGGACTGGTGCTTCGGTAAGTCGTTTCTTCAGTTCAAGGAACCCTTTCTCACACTTGTCGTCCCATATGAACTTGGCCCCTTTCTTTGTGAGCTTCGTTAATGGAGACGCCAATACGGAGAATTTTTCAACAAATTTACGATAGTATCCCGCTAAGCCAAGGAAACTACGTATCTCTTTCACATTCTTGGGTCTCTCCCAATCCATGATAGCTTTTATCTTTGCGTTATCCACAGCTACGCCCGAACCGGATATGACGTGACCGAGAAAACCAATCTCCTTGAGCCAAAATTCGCATTTAAAGAACTTGGCAAAGAGTTGCTTTTCCCTTAGCCGATCAAGTATAAGCCCCAAATGATGCTCGTGCTCCTCCTCACTCTTGGAGTATATCAAGATATCATCAATGAATACTATCACAAATTGATCTAAGTATTCACTAAACACCCGGTTCATCAAGTCCATGAATGCCGCCGGTGCGTTGGTTAAACCAAATGACATTACAAGGAACTCGTAATGACCATATCTAGTGCGGAATGCACTCTTAGGTATGTCGCTCTCCTTGATCTTCAACTGATGATACCCCGACCTCAAATCAATCTTCGAGAACACTATTGCCCCCCGAAGTTGGTCAAACAAGTCATCAATCCTCGGTAAGGGATACCTGTTCTTGATTGTGACCTTGTTCAATTGTCGGTAGTCAATACACATTCTTAGTGTACCATCCTTCTTCTTCACGAAGAGTACGGGTGCCCCCCACGGTGAATGACTGGGTCTGATGAACCCGTTGTCCAGTAATTCTTGTAGTTGGACCTTCAACTCTTGGAGTTCGGCCGGTGCCATTCGATAAGGAGGAACCGAAATGGGTTTGGTTCCCGGCTCCACTTCAATTACAAACTCTATCTCTCTGTCGGGTGGAAGCCCCGGTAGGTCTTTGGGAAAGACATCCGGGTACTTGCACACGATCCGTACATCTTTGATGTCGACTTCCTTCTTGGTATCGTCCACCACGTAGGCAAGGTACGCGTGGCATCCCTTCCTCATCATCTTCCGTGCTCTCATCACGGATATGATACAAGCACTAGATTTCCCCCGATCTCCCTCAAAGCATAGCGTGTTCCCTTGATCATCCTCGAGCTCCAACACCTTGGTGTAGCAATCTACTCGGGCATGGTGTTTCTCGAGCCAATCCATCCCTAGGATTGCATCGAACTCCAACATGCTTAGAGGTACGAAATCACAAGTCAAAGGTTGACCCGTCACTTCTACCTCACACGACGGATAGTAATGATTTCTCTCCACGTCGTCTCCTAACGGTGTGGAGACTAGCAACGTTTGAGTCATAGGTGTCAATGGCACGTCAAGGCCCTCGGCGAACGCCTCACTCACAAATGAGCGTTGTGCCCCGGTATCGATGAGGATCCTCGCACACCTACCATTGATCTTTAATGTTCCTACATTTATACACCATGTAAGATACATTTTCTAATGTTTTTACACATCATTAGGATGTTATTAGGTTCATACAAATGTTTGGAATCAAACGGGGGTCCAAACGTAGAAGAACGGGGCGAAAAAAATCAACTTTCGGGTGTTGGGGGTCCACGCACGGCGTGCCTGGGTGGCAGGCACGGCCGTGCGTGCAACAAACTCACCCTGCTGTCCACTGCCGGCCAGGCACGATGCCAGGCACGGCGTGCCTGCGGCCGTGCCTGGCCAAAACTTCTTCGGACACCACTGCCTCCCAGGCACGACGCCAGGCACGGCGTGCCTGCGGCCGTGCCTGGCCCAAAATTTTTTTTTTCCTTTTTTTCTCTTCGGGTGCCACTGCCTTCCAGGCACGATTCCAGGCACGGCGTGCCTGAGGGCGTGCCTGGCCGGCAGTGGCTGTTTCCAGCCAGATTCGGCCTAACTCACCCGGTTCGACCCCGGGGTGGCCCACACTCAATCCCAACGACGTATATGATCAAAGTAAGCCTAGAAATACATGGGAATACGCGTATTACCTGCAACGGAGTCCGGGTTTGCTCTCGCATCCGCCTCGGTCATCGCGTAGACTCGTGCTTGGGTCCCGCCTTGGTTTACGGACGCGGCATGACTTGTGGATGCGTTGCCTCTTCCCGTACCGCCGTTTGACGGGCCCGCACGGTTTCTTCCCGTCATGGTTCCTCCTCCGGATCCCGGAGCTCCTCCTCCCCCCAATTGTGGGCAATTGGCCTTCATGTGGCCCGTGTTCCCACACCGATAACACCTCGGGGGTGCGTTGCACTTCCCGAAGTGGTTCTTTGAACAGTTGGCACACTTAGGAGGCCCCGTATTTTGAGAGGAGGATGCGTGCCACCGAGCATCCTTATTCTTCTTCGCCGGTGGTGCCGGCGCCTTGAACGTACCCCCACCCCCACCGTGGTGATTCTTCCGTGCTTGCTCGGGCGGCCCCGAATTATGCCATTTTCTCTTTTTCGCCTCCTCGGCGTCTCTTTCTTTTCTCTCATTCCATTGAGCCTCCCCAAGAAGGCCCTGCTCCACCACCTCGCTAAAGGTCATGTGGCGTGAGTACGTAGCCCGATCACGGATGTCCAAGAGTAAGGCATCCCAAAAGTGCTCCGACATGCGGTCCTCATTGATCGCGTACTCCGGTAAGAACCTAGCCAAGGTTCTAAAATCTTGCTCCAGTTGTTTAACAGACACACCCTCCTTCTGTTTGAGGTTGGTGTACTCCCTACGCTTGACATTTTTCTCATAGTCAGTGTAGTATTGGTCATAAAACTCCTGCTCAAAGTTCAACCATGAGACCTCCCCATGGTATTTTCCTTCCACACTCTCCCACCACGTGGAAGCTATCCCCTCAAGCAGCCGTGAAGCAACAGTCAACTTCACGTCCGGTGAAATTTGCATGTCCTTTGCCGCATCCTTCACCTTCTTTATCCAATCGGCGGCAACGGTAATGTCACCGGTGCCGTCAAAGGACTTACACCCCAAGGCCCTAGCCTCCTTGAGGTACTTGGAGATTCTCACACAAAAACCTCCTTCACGCCCATCGTGTGGCGCCACGGGAGTGGCTCTTGAAGCTCCCCGGCTTCCTTGACCCGAACCACCGCGAGAGCCACGCCTTGCTTGGCGCCTAAGGTCTCTCCTCAGCTTTTCTTTTTGATACCACTCAAGCAATTCGCCCATTTGGGCGAACTTGGCATCACTCTCTTCATCATCATCATCGGTGTATGTGTCACCCCCCATCATATGGGGTCTCCTCGTGCTCCGTTTCCGGAACATATGTAGAGTCGTAGTCTTCGGTGTTGGTTTCATACACCGAGCTTACATGGCCCTCACTCACAGTTTGAGCTTGGTGACCTCCACGGCTTCCACGGCCTCCACGGCCTCCTCTTGAACCCCGAGATGTAGCCCGGCTCCCCCTTTGGGATGCTACCGGCGTCTGCCCCCTCGGATTGTTCCTGGTTCGCATTCGCCTGCCCTCCATTTCTGAAAGAAATATGGATGAGTCATTAGACTCCTATAAATGTCAATTGACGGAAAAACGTTACAGACACGTATTGGCCCAAGTCACTACCATACCAATTGTTAAGGGTACCGTCTTAACAATTAGAGGCCTTGCAACTTAAGCACCAATAGTCCTATAAACGTCAAAATACAATGCTCATGGTTTTCGGCAAAAACTCTTTTGTAAAATCTTTTGTGAGAGGTTGATTATATAGTTTAGAACTGAGATGGCTCTGATACCACTTAATTGTCACGCCCCAGACCGCAATCCAAGCGCGTGTACAACCGCCGTATAACTAAGTGACGTCACCCACGGGTCAACCTCACTTAATTACACAAGGCGTTCGAGAAAACAATCCATCCATACTCAGTAGTAAACATACATAACAACATCACATTTAAACCAATGAATAGCGGAAATATTCAACGGTAAGTCATGGACCACAACCGGCCAACAACATCGGCATGCAAGCCCCAAAAATAGTTTATGGTAAAATAAATATCCATGAGCAAGTGTTCGGTAGTTTGAACGAAAATAAGGAAGCACGAACCACGTCTCCCTGATTTGATATCACCCGTGAGAAGGTGCAAGTAGCAAGCTCTAGCTTCAACCTGAAAATGGTGGGGCCCCCCGAAGGGGTCAGTACAAGTACCGAGCGAGTAGCAGGCTAAATATAGAATAACTAGCGTTTCAAGTATAAGACCCAAACATAGGGTGATACTTAAATAAATAGTCTTTCCCCCAAGTTATGAAATACTTATTAGTATATTTATACTTGGAAAATATCCGATCCGTAGATCACCGTTCATTTGGGAAAAATAGTAATAGTCAATATTCTTGACCAAAAACCCCAACCCACCCATATACCTATGAGTGTATAGGACTCCTCCCTTGTCCCTATTTGTATATCATAATCTATGAGTTTTAGGATCATAATCCTTGGATACTCCACCGGTTTGTGAGTGTTAAGGACTCATAAGTCCTAGGGTCCTCCACCAAGTTTTGAGTGTTAAGTACTTTTTAGTACTAGGGTCCTCCACCAAGTTTGAGTGTTAAGTACTTTTTAAGTACTAGGGTCCTCCACCAAGTTGAGTGTTAAGGACTTTAAGTCCTAGGGTCCTCCACCAAGTTTGAGTGTTAAGTACTTTTTAAGTACTAGGGTCCTCCACCAAGTTTGAGTGTTAAGTACTTTTTAAGTACTAGGGTCCTCCACCAAGTTTGAGTGTTAAGTACTTTTTAAGTACTAGGGTCCTCCACCAAGTTTGAGTGTTAAGTACTTTTTAAGTACTAGGGTCCTCCACCAAGTTTCCTATGATCAACCTCCTATCAACCTAGATAGAGTCTATATCATCCTTAGTTACTCATAACTAATCCAATACATAAATCTTATGTATCACAATCCATGCAAGCCATGCATTTATATACATGTATAATTAACTAACATCAACCGATATTAATTAATCCATCATTCATCGGTCAACGTTGTCGTTGACCGCCAATTCAAGCCTTGTACATATCAACTAAATCACCATATGATTAAGTTAATAATACTCATTTGTGCTTCTTTTACACTTCAAGCTAATATGCATTTTATATAATTCCTCATATCATATTTCATGCATAAACAATTAATTCTTTTCATACAACTTAATAATGTTGGCTAATCACATGTTTAAATATCTTTTAAACATCATTATGAACACATATAACATTTATTTAGGTAATCTCATAATTAACCCAAAAGTTATAAGATATTAAGCCGTCCACTCACCTTGAACTAGCGTTATGAAGTTCTACCCCTCTTGGTTGAACTCCGGTGAAACTCCGGCGACTTTCGGTCAACTCCGGCGACAACTCCGGCGACTTTACCAACTTTGTGAAATCACTTGAAATACCCTTTACAAGTGCCTAACAAGGTTTTATAATCATAAAACCCATATTAATACAAGTAACCTCAAAACGGTTATTTTCCGGTGAACCGGTCGTTTTGGCTTCTAAGTCCGTTCTTGGACATAGAATCACTTTCCAACCCATTAATCCATACTTATAACATGTAGAACCCTCTCAAGGATTCTTCACATGATATATATCTCATATGGTAGAAGAAAAATAAAGGAGTAGTTATAATAAGGTCATTACCTTAGTTATTTCACACTTTTAGCACTTTAGCTCCTTTTTGGGTGATTCTTCCTTGATGATTTTTCTTCAACAATGGAGGAAGGAGGCTGGGTGGTTTTTCTTGCTCTTCCTGGGTTCTCTTGGCCGAAAATGAGGGTGGGAGAGGGGTGAGGCTTACCCCTTTGTCTCATTGAACAAATGGGTGTGGATGGGGGGCCACCTCATTTTTGTTTGATGCCTTTTAGATCATGTCAACCTCTCCCTCCCATGCCTTCCTCTTCAAACAGCCGACCAAGCCCTCAATTTGAGTGGCAAAAATCGTGGGTTGGCCCCCACCCATGTGGGAGGTCAACCCTTTTTGCCCCGACGTGTACAATTTGTCCCGAAAGTTGTATTTTTTCGGACTGTTTTAAATATATTTTATTTTATCGGGTCAAATAAAATATATTATGTGCTCTTACTCATTATGACATGTATAATGAATATACATTCCCCAACTTTAATTTATAAGCCTCCGAAATTCAGTTCGGGCTGTTATCAGTTAAATTACCAGTACTGGTAATTTGGGCTTCTTTTGACCAATCGGTCAACTCCGGGCCTTTCCATGGCCCAAATGAAATATCCACCACTACATATTTATTATCTAGACCATGATGAATAAAATGTATGGTCTCGGGAAAATCGGGCGGCCCCCGCTCCCGGTGTGGGTCCCACGTGCAATTTACTATTCACGCGAAAGAATAAATAAAAATTTACAACTTCGTAAATTCATAAATCATTCCATAAGGTTTATTACATCATTTACATAAAAGTAAATACATTTGGGGACGGTGTTACAACCGGTCTCTGGTCGGCTCTCCCAGATTTTTTTCACCGGCAAGGCCATGAGAAACGTTGATCGCGAATCGATCTCCCCCCTGCGTCTATCTCGGTGATACTTCTCTAGTTACAGAAGATGTTAGAAAAAGTGGCTAAAATTGAAATATAAAACTAAAACTGAAAAAGTAAAAGTTAAAAATGAAAAAGTAAAGCACTTGGGCCATAAATGATATTTTGAACCGAAAAGGTAACCATACGGGTAATTTGCATATTTTTTGAGGATTCGGATATTATTTTTTTATTCTCTATAATATCTTACTCTGAAAGCTTTGTATATATTTACTCCTTGCTTTTATAAGAAGATTTAGTCAACATTGATTACTTTTCTTCTTGGTCTAAGATTCCTTCTCCTGAACAAGAAAACTTTGTTGAGGACTTGATCTTACTAAAAAATGTTTCAAGTGTGTAGGATTAATAGAGGTTAATGAGGAGAAAGAATGTACAATATAGGCAGCTATTGAAGAAATACCACTTCAAATAATTTTTCCTTCTACCGAGTTGCGGGATATTGCGGATTCAAATTTTTCCGAGAATGAAGAATATCACTTTTGTCCAGAGACAACTAACCGACAAAGGGTTACTTGATCGTTTATCTAATTTGGTTGTTAGTTTTATCAACTAGGGGTGGGAAAAACCGAACCAGGAGCCGGAAACCGACCCTGGACCGAACTGAGTAAAAAGAACCTGGACCGAACTGAGTAAAAAGAACCTGGGCCGAACCCGGATCGAACCCAAAAATCTGGGCTCATAAACGGGCCCTAAAATCTATAACCTGGCCCGGACCGGTAAAAACCCCAAACAATTAACTTTAATATAAAATCAATGAAATATATGAATCTATTTTATAAATAATTCCTAATACGAAGTATATGATTATAATCGTGGCGGATGAAAAAAATGAGTTAATAACTTTTAGTGACTGCGAATATGATCAATTTTGGACCGTAATGACCATGAAAATATATGTTTACTAATTTTAGTCACATTTTTATTTATAAAATTTATGTAGTAATATTTTTAACAAAAATATTATTTGTTAATTTGCATCTTAAACAAAATATTTAAGGTAATTATACTCTTTAGATTTGATTTGTTAGTGATTTTGGAGATTAATATTTGTCTTATTGTTTACCGTTTGTATTTTTTATTAATTTTATTTGAAAATAGGTTTTAAAATACAAAAGGGCAATGAAATGATTTCACGTCGGGGCTTTAACCAGCCCAAACCGAACCCAAATCGAATTCGGGCTACCAAAAACCCGATTCTGACCGAATATAATGAGCTTTGTCCTGGTTCCTAATTTTCATAACCTGAGACCTTACAGGTAATTTTCATGTCTAGCAAAAACCCGACCCAGATCGGGCCAATACCACCCCTATTATCAACTATGGGCTTGAACCAAGGAAAAATGTTTGTGTAAAAGTAAAACAAGCAATTGAGTCGATTATATTATGAACTTCTTGTATTTTACAAGGGAAATTCGAAGCCTTTTGAAAAATTAAATTGTTTGAATTTCTTTTTTGCATTTGCCAAGATAGGAGATGACGACATTTTGCTTGGATTTTCATGAGATAATTTTGTGACATCAATCACACTATTTTTCTGAAGTATTTATAATATGTTTTTAGCCCTTGCAAATATAACACATTTTCTTTTACATCCCTACAAAATTACTTTTGCTTTTCCATCCCTGCAATTTAGGTTGGTTTTCATTTTAATCCATCACTGATGATAACAATCTTCGTTTGACCTCAAAATAACCCCGATTAATAGATCTCCTCTAATTCTTTGTCATGTTATTAAAAAAGTATTTAATTTTATTTTTTAGAAGGGTTTTAATATATATTTTTAAAATGTGAATACTTAGTTTTACACTGTTTTAAATCTCATATTGGCCTAAAAAAAGTGATAAAATGAAGAGTTTAAATATATCTAATAGATTTATGTAACTGACAATAATTTTTTTTTGTAAGTAGAGTGGTTTCAGAATCCGAGATAGACTACAAACAAAATAGTGCATATTAAAGGGATGAAAAACAAGAAAAATATTTTGCAGGGACTTAAAACAAATTGTGTCATATTTGCAGGGACTAAAAACGTATTTAAACCTTTTAAATATTAGAAAAAAAATTTGAACATGTTTGAAAATATTTTGCAATTTGTGTGAATTTTTTAAAGTACTCTGTAATTATTAAATTCCCAAAATTAAGTATTCTTTGGTATTACCTATAAATACCAAAATTTTATAATTTCGTGACATTAATCACAACATATTCCTCAAGTCTTTACTTTAATAAAGGGAAAAGTATCAAATTAGCCCCCGTACTATACCGAAAAAGTCGATTAGGCCCTCGTACTTTACAAACACTCAATTAAGCTCTCCAACTATTAAAAAACGTTCAATTAAGCCCCTTCGGTCGGTAAGTAACCGGTTTCCCGGCAGCCGCCATTGCTGGGGTTCGAGCACATCATCGCCGCCGTCACTGTTTAACCGGGAAACCAGTTACTTACCGACCGAAAGGGCTTAATTGAACATTTTTTAACAGTTTGAAGACTTAATTGAGTGTTTGTAAAGTACGAGGGCCTAATCGACTTTTTCGGCATAGTACGAAAGCTTATTTGATAGTTTTCCCTTTAATAAATTGCATTTATTTTTACCCTAAAATAGACATCATTATTTGTTTTTGTTTTTACTCCGAGGGCCAAATTTAGACCCATTTGGTAACACTGAAATGAAATTTATGAAGTTCTGGTTGAAGTGGCTGTATTGGCTGATTCTGCATATTTTTGAAAAAAAGATAATTAAAATATATTTTATTAATAAAAAAAAATATAAGACAAAATAACTAAAATAGTCATCTACAGTAACTTCAGCCAATACAATCCAAAAATAATTCTAACCTTACTTTTTGTTATTCTTACATAATTCAGCGCGCATAATCAAAAGTTATGTGTTTAATTAAAAGTTGGTTTGATGGATAGTGCACCCGGGGGGTAACCTGTCCGAAGGATACCATGAGGGATATCTAGATAGAAGTCGGAGCAATAAGTAAGAGAGAGAGTCAGAATGTATTAAATGAACTCGATGTGTTTATAGAGGGAAAGGATGCGCTATTTATTACAGCCATAAATGCTAGGCGCATTAAATGCGAGTACATGTGTCAAGTAATCAATGGTGGAGGGTCACTCCAACCGCGCTGGCGCCATCATCGCATGTGGCACCGCATTAAATGCGGTGGTTGGATGTGACACTGCATTCAATGCGGTGGTTGCCTATCCTCAGAAGGAAGCTTCGTTAAGTGGAGACCCTTCGGCATAGGTGCCGAAGGCATCCTTAGGCCGAAGGCCTAATTTTGTAGCCAAAATCTTCCCGTAGTGTTGTGGGTCCAAGAGCAGGCGTCTTCACAGAGTTTCATGCCTTCGACGGGGGGGGGGGGGGGGGGGGCAGCTATGTATGCGTTATGGGCTCCTTTGAGGTTGGGTCGCCGTATGTGGGCTTATTGGGTTTACTGGGCTTATTGGGCCTGTTCATGTGTACTAGGAGTATATGGGCCGGGGGTCTCTGGACCATATGCTCCATCATGGTTGATAAGCATGATAAGTAAAACTGAGTCACTAAAAGCTTGGAATTTGCCTTCTTATAACTTTGACTTTTTTTTCTAATGTCGATGTATATGGTTGATGAGAAATTATCTTGTCGGGCGCGCCTGACAGGAACCTCCGCGCGGACTTGCCCGTTTGAGGGTCTTATCGGTAATTTTTTTTAGCATAATCCACATCAAGTCTAGTTTATGGGTTTATCCATACTGAATTTTAGATCAAAATTCGATCGGAAAAGCATTCAAATAAATTCGTGAAACATATGGCGCATTCTGCACACATATAATGCACAATATGTTTTAAGAATTTATTTGAGTGCCTCCCCGATTGAATTTTGAGTTGAAATTTGGCATGAATAAACTAGATTTGATGGATAACATGCTCAAAAAATTTCATCAAACAATTCCATCAGGAAGGCACCCAAACGGACAAGTCCGCACGGCTTTGCCCATCAGGCGCGTCTGACCAGAATTGTACTCTATGGTTGATTAGTCCATAAACAATACTCTCTTCCTCTAACTATTATTGTCTGAGTTCCTATTCACAAGGTTAACATAAACCATTAATCTTCTACTTTATATATCAATTTTTTTAATCAATTTTGATTCTGATTTTTGCGACTTTGTAAAACTATTAATGTGATTTCTGAATATGTAATTTTTTCCCTTTGTAAAAATAGTTTGAATGCAAATAGTGATTCGTATGCTTTGTCATCTGACTCGTCTGTCAAGTATCTTAATCCGTAATTGGACCATAATAGTGGGACAAAGGAAGTACGTAGTACTTCTTCTGTTCGGATATAAGTGCAACATGCACTTCGGCACAAAGATTAAGAAACCAGGTGAAGGAGTTGAACTTCACTATTTTACCCTTCTACCGTTCTACGTAAGAAAGTAGCAACCACACAAATAAAGTGCTACAGTACCTAAAAGGAGTAGTAGATAAAATTGTTACAACCAAGAAATAAAACAGCGAGCCCTGGTGTACTGCTCAGTTGCGGAAGACGAAGACCCTAAATTCCGGTGAGCGACTTTTATCTGGAGGCCGCAACAGTCCGCCACCGCCAACAGTCCTCCTCCCATGGCTTGAAGCCAGCTCAGCACCCCCTCTTCCGCTTCCGCCAAGCGTCATCCCACGCAGACAATTACTGCAATGATCCAGAGCCGCAACAGTCCGCCGCATAGATGCCACAATTATCGTCGTGTCTCTGCTTGTGGGTGAGTGACCGGAACAAAATCAGTCCATGTCTTCCGTTCCGACCATAATTAAAATACAAATAAGAGAAAATAAAAACAAATGAGGAAAATGATGGGAAAGAAATGGAGAATTGGTATCTTGGTGAAGAGAAACGCACAAGGTACACAAACGAACGAGCTAGAAGGATGGAGAAATAATTAAAGAAAAAGTAAAAAGGTAGAAAAGGAACGGTTGTACATAGTAGAAGTCAATTGGTTTAGTATTTCTTTCCAAAAATAGAAATGTTACATTTAATTTGAAACTGACGAAAAGTGTTGCACTTTGTCAACAAGTGGGAGCATTCTGATTTTTCAGTCCAAACTAGCATTTTTATCCAGCCCGGCCTAACAATAACAAAAGCCTGAGTAACTGAGTCATCTATGGACACCGAGACTTCCGGTCGTCACTTTTCAACGGTCAGCCGATAAAGGAGCATCCAATCGCCAAGTCGCTGCCCGCCGACCGCCATATCCGCCGATGCTTAGCCGCTTGCCGTCTGCCTCTGTGAGCTCCGACCTGCCTACTGCGTACAACGTTCCAGCTAATCGAGTAATCGACTAATCGGCCCTTCTCAACTTCTCAGTCTTGTACTCTTCTGTGGCTTCAGGTATCAGTGTATCACGCCTTCACCGCTACAGCCTTTAGGTACAGAGGTACTCCCCCAGACTCCATTCCCGCGACCTCCTTATTCGGTTATTCCTTAACTGCTCAAGTCTCTTAGAGTTGTACACATTTTCTTTAATTGATTAATATGATCGATTATTTGATTAGTTCATTAGTTAATGCAATTCATAGGTATTTTAATATTTATGAATGAATATTGAATGCTTGATAATAATTAGTTGATTTGTTGGCCGTTGTCCTGTTGATGACATATATTTGGAAGTAATTAAAAGTTTATGTCAAAAGAGTATTGAAAGAAGTATAGATTTCTCCTAAATTCTCCAATATTCATTTTAATTTAATACAAAGTCAATAAGGTAAATCTGTTTTATAATTTTATATTTTGCTAAATAAGTTCTACTTACGAAATAAACAAAATGACTGTTAAAGAAATCCAAGTTCTTAGTTTAGAATTAGTTTATTTTTAATTACAATTTGTTGAAGTGCAGTTTTCAATGTCAAATTGCTCAAAGTGCACATTTTTTAACAATCACTAAAATAGTCCTCAACTTACTTACTCTGATAGGGTTGACAATGCATCTGAAACTGAAGCAATTAAAACTTTGTGCTTAAATACTCCCTCCGTATTTGAAAGCTCTCTAGAATAGGTTTGGGCACACAATTTAAGGGTGAAATAGTAGGGGTAATGAATAGTGTAAAAAAATAGGAGTGAATGTGGAAAAGTACGAAACAGCAGAAAAAAACTGCAAAAAGTAAGGATAATTGAGTATTTTTAAAGGAAAAACTTACCAAAAGAGATAAGTGTACCAAAACTTTACATACATCCAGAAAAGGAAAGTGTATCAAACTTTAAAATACGGAGGAATTATATAATTGAAATAGAAATATTTGTTTTTCAAAAGATGATGCGGCTATCAACCACAAAACCTGGTTTTTTTTCGAGATGATTTTTATGCTTCAAATACTTACCTTATTAATCTTCAAAGGTGCAGCAATATATTCTGGCCCATTTAAATTTTCAACTCAATGGACTACAATTGTTTAAACATTCAAGCGAATTTAATTATAGAGATGACACAGTACCTTAAAATGTTTGAAGCTAAAGATTAGTCTTACCTATTGTAGGCTTTTAGCTAATGGAACATCTAACAATCCATATTATTGTGAAGCAGTTGCTTGAATAGGATTTTTTTTTCTTTTGCGAAGGGCGAACATGGCACTAATGGAACATCTAAGGGATGATAGATACGCGGAGTATAAATTTACAGGCAAAACTTGGAATCTGAAGATGCAAGTTTTATCAAGCAATTTTAAAATTGGGACTTGAAAAGCCACGACACATGCTTAGCGGCATCAAATTGGTCAGGCAAATACTTTTGGAATTCGAAAAGTCACAATTGACAGCTCATTTATTATTATATCTATTTTTTTTGAATATTTACATAATCATAAACAAAAAAACTATTTGTACCCACTCTTATACCCACTTTTGTACCCACCATGTCTGTGAGGAGTTTTTTTTTGTCTGTGAATCTGGGTCACAGACAAAATATGTCTATGCAAATCATTTTGTCTGTGAATCAGATTCACAGATAAAAAAAACTCCTCACAAACATGGTGGGTATAAAAGTGTGTACAATAAGAAGCTCTCAATCATAAATGCTCGTCTCTTTTTATGGTCTGCCCTAGAGCTTCTCACGTGAGTCACTTCACTACTTTTTACAAAATTATCCCCAAATTGCTATAGTGTTCCCACCCAAATTCCCTCCCACGATTTTGTTACTCCGTATTACTCCCTCCGTCCCATTTAAATCTTTATTATATCTCATTTATTATTATATCTATTTTTTGAATATTTACATAATCATAAACAAAAAAACTATTTGTACCCACTCTTATACCCACTTTTGTACCCACCATGTCTGTGAGGAGTTTTTTTTTGTCTGTGAATCTGGGTCACAGACAAAATATGTCTATGCAAATCATTTTGTCTGTGAATCAGATTCACAGATAAAAAAAACTCCTCACAAACATGGTGGGTATAAAAGTGTGTACAATAAGAAGCTCTCAATCATAAATGCTTGTCTCTTTTTATGGTTTGCCCTAGAGCTTCTCACGTGAGTCACTTCACTACTTTTTACAAAATTATCCCCAAATTGCTATAGTGTTCCCACCCAAATTCCCTCCCACGATTTTGTTACTCCGTATTACTCCCTCCGTCCCATTTAAATCTTTACACTTTCCTTTTTGGGACGTCTCATTTACTCCTTTACGTTTCCCTCTTTTTCGTTTTTTCGGTTTCATGGAAAAAATATAAAAATCTTATTTAAAGTAATACAAAAATTTAATTTATATAGTTATATATAGTTATTTATTATATATATACTATTATACAACGTAGATTATTGATTACTATATATTTGAATATAAAAATATATTAGTCTACTAGTCACGAGTACGACATCCAATTGCTTCTATTTAACTATTTTCATTTTTTCATTATTTGTATAATCTTTATATATCTGTTATGGCAACTTATTTTACTTGATTTGCCATAACTACCCTTCACTATACTACCCATCCACGTTTTACAATTCATAGTTTTCATTGGACAACATTGATGCACCCACTATCATCGCAACACTTACTTACAGGCCCATAGCTACAGCCAAAGTTTGAATCGAAGAATTCTGCTTTCAGAATTAGATTTACAATGAGCCTCTCAACTCATTCATAAGATAGATTCTCCAATCACATGTGCCTGTTTATCCCTGCCCGGAGAAAGAAGCCTTCATCTGCTTGGAGATAAAAGCCGGCGTTAATGGAGTTGCTGCCGCCATGAATGCGGCCGTTGGCGTTCCGGACGCCTTCTCCGGAGTTGAAGGCCTGGACAGGGAAATCAAAGGCATCGAGCTCTACAAGGGCTGTTAGATTCCTTTCTGTCCTTTCTTAAGTCATCAAATCCGGATTTTCGTAGGGAATCCAAAACTCCGATTTGTCCCTTTGTAGCTTGTTTGCCAATTGGGAATTTGCGTGTCGATTGCAGCTTCCCTCCTTTACTCTTGCTCTTTGGGAGATGAAGTAGAATCGGTAAAGAACGGTGGAAGTAGAATCGGTAAAGGCAAAGGGTATAAATGATATTTGCTCTTCAATTAATTGATCTCCTAAAAAACCATTCCAAAAGCAAATGTAAAGATGTATCCGGGACGGAGGGAGTATATACTACCTCCGTCCCAAAAAACTTGTCATTTCCAAAAATTTGATCCTTAATTTGGATTAGTATAATATTATGTAAGTTATAAATTTTATACTTTTACGAAAGTATTTTTAACAAAGAACATTTCCATATAACTTTTATATTATAAATCATTTTCAATAAAAAGATATAGCCGGTCAAAGTTTTGAAAATGACAAAGTTTCAAAAAAATGTTTATAAATGTTTGTTTGAAGAACTTCAACTACTTTCTTGTCGATTTTTGCTTTATAAATGTTTGTTTGAAGAACTTCAACTACTTTGGGTTTTTGTATTTCTGTGATTGTATATTTTAAAAAAAGTTGTCTTACAACCAGACTTTATACTTCGAATTTCATAGTGTACAAGTTCATTTATAACATCGCTCACAAATAACAACTTTTTCTAGGTTTGTAATGGAGATGGCTGGTTCCTTAGACAATGGAGCTTTTCATTGTTGAAGCGGCAGAGTCATGGCGTCCTTTTCGGGACCCTCTAACCCATTTCCGTTAGTGCTCAATAGTCAACCTGGAAATCACCCGGTAACCCACTTGGCTGCACCTATTCCCGCATTGATACACAATAGAAACCCATCAGTAGCCAATCAACGAGATGCAGGGGACAGAGTGGTTCCCCAAAGAAGAACCGGCATCACCAGAACAGTGGAGGAAGATGCCAGAGGGAAAGATGAAGTCAACAGGAAGGTAGCTTCACAGAAAGCAATTTCCATAATTATGAGGAGAGAGGCCATGAAAGCAGTAATCGAGAAGAAAAAGGGCAGCTCCAAGAAGCTACTTCCCAACGACATTCTCGAAGCTCTTCACGAACGCATCACTGCTTTGCGCTGGGAATCCGCTGTTAAGGTCTCTCTTTCTCTCGTTCTGTCCCCCCACCCCCAACTACGATTTGAAACTTTTATATGAACATTTGTATTACAAACTTTATCCACTGTCACTTTCAATTTTGCTAGCAATAGAAATAAATGTTAATGAACTACGAAATAGAATTCATATAGGTCACCAGTCTGACCCCAAGTTCTTTAAGCTTTAGCTTACTTCAGTTTAAAATTAATTTAGTCTTTCTGAACTCTAAGGCTCTATTTGGAAATTGGGAAACCTGGAAAAGAATATAGGGTGGGAAGTGTATGAGAAATTCAAAGGAAAGAATATGTGGAGGAATGATAAAAACATAGGTCCCAACTCAATAAATATATTTTTCATATTTGCTCAATTTCGTCTTTTCATTTACTTGTATAAACAATCACTAAGAAATCTAAACACGTGTAAAAACCATATTTCATTTTCCTTTTTATTTTCTGAGGTAAAACCAAACATGACCAAATAACTTTCTTTAGCATTTCCTTTCATTTCCTAGGATTTTCTAGGGGGTAAATAACCCAAGGCAAATGAAATTATAGAATATGTCATGCAATTTCTAGAGATTAATCCCATGTGCATGAAAATGAAATTCAAATGAAATACCCTTTTAACTCTTTTGATTAAAAGGGTATTGAGAAACTGAAAATTCCTATGTTTAGCTACTGAAAACACCATGTAGTGGATTTTTTGTAATTGTTGTCTCTACTTACAGATCTTTGAACTCCTTCGCGAGCAGCTATGGTACAAGCCGAATGCTGGTGTGTATATCAAACTAATTGTAATGCTTGGAAAATGTAAGCAACCTGAGAAAGCTCAATCCTTGTTTCAGATGATGATTGATGAAGGCTGTGTTGTGAATCAAGAAGCTTATACTGCTTTATTGTCTGCATACAGCCGTACTGCCCTTTTCAATGATGCTTTTTCACTCCTTGAAGAGATGAAGAGCACTCCTAATTGTCAACCTGATGTCTTCACATATACCGTTCTCATAAAATCGTGCCTGCAAGTTTATGACTTTGGTAAAGTAAGAGTTCTCCTTTCGGAAATGGAGAATGAGGGGATCAAGCCCAATACAGTTACATATAATATTCTCATTGATGCTTACGGCAGAGCAAAAAGGTATGTGTCATGTTATAAAACCATGAGAACATTTGATGCCAATTCCCCTTATGCCCATCTTTTCTAGCCTCATTCTCAACTAAAGTATTTCTAATAGCTCCAACAAGATGTCCTTCATCTATTTCTAAAATAACTGTCCATTAAAGAATAATTATAATATGTAATGTAAAATGTAAAAGTTAGTTCAGTCATGAATTAGTGAAGACGCTCCTACATTCCTACTGGTATCTAATTTGTAGGTACTCCATCCGTCTGACAAAGTTAGTCTTGTGTTTCAAATTGATGCATCCCACCAAAATCGTCTGATTTCTTCAGTAGTTATCTTCTAATTTCCCTTTCCCAAGTCTATCTCTATTTGAATATTCGTATTCAGAGTCCCAGCTCCCACGAGAGAAGTAATTTACTAATTGCATATGATAATAATGGCTGTGTCACACTTAACTGCCATTTCATAATGTGAAACAAATATGGGAGGTAACGAAGGGATTTGCTTTTGACTAAATACATTTAAGCACGACTTTAACTGAATTGAAACACAGCTTGTTTGCGCAGTGCGCAACTAGTCAGACATTTAGTCATCCAAAAATGGTCATCTTGTCCAATTTAGACTCTTTGGTCAATGCACAAAGCAAACAACCCCTCACACAAAGACCGCTTAGTCCAGACAACCATCTCAACACAGACAGACATCTTAGTACTCAGTTTAGTTTTTATTGGGTTGCCAAAGGATAATTATTTAAGAACAAAATCTATTAGTCAATCAACTTTTTTGTGGACAAAGGATTATTAATCAAGGGTAGTTTAGCCGTTTTGCTGGACCACTACTGTGAAAAGGAGGAAGTTCTTATTTTGCCATGGTCATGCCCTGTAAGTTGTGAGAATAGATTGTTCCAATAAAATGGAAAAACGGCGATTATATTTTGCAAGTAGAATTTTGGGATTTAGGTATTGACACAAATTTTATTTACTAAAGGTTCGCTGAGATGGAATCTGTACTTGTGGAAATGCTTCAGAGGAGAGACTGTTCTCCAGATGAGTGGACCATGAACTCTTCATTGAGAGCATACGGTGGTAGCGGGCAGATAGAAATGATGGAGAGCTGCTATGAAAAGTTCCAATGCGCTGGGATTGAACCCACTATCAAGACTTTCAACATCCTTTTAGATTCATATGGAAAAACTGGAAATTATGATAAAATGAGTTCTGTTATGGAATACATGCAGAAGTACCATTTCTCATGGACTAGGGTTACCTATAATATCATAATAGATGCATTTGGGAGGGCCGGAGATTTGAAACAGATGGAATTTCTTTTCCGGCTTATGCAGTCTGAGAGGATCAAACCAGACAGGGTCACACTTTGTTCGCTGGTTCGAGCGTATGGGCAAGCCGGGAATGCTGAAAAAATTGGAGGTGTTCTGAAATTTGCTGATAATGCAGAAATTACACTGGACACTGTTTTTTTTAACTGCCTGGTGGATGCATATGGGATGATGGAATGCTTCGCGGAGATGAAAGAAGTGCTTGAACTTATGCAGAGCAAAGGATGTAAGCCTGATAGAGTAACATATAGAACCATGATTAAAGCGTACTCGATTGGTGGGATGACTAGTAAAGCGAAGGAGTTCAAGAACCAACTTGCATCATTGGAAGAGAATCAACCCGGCCAGAAAATGTCCAAAGTAAAGTAAGGCTTTTCACATAATTGACATGGCCTTTTGCTTGTACATTCTTTACACTCTTCATGTTTTGTTATCAACTCTGGCATCATTTCCTCGATTGTTATATTCCAAACTCTTCTAGTGTAAATAAACTCTTCCAGGAACTCGAGTTTATCAGTTAACCAACAAATTGTCTCGGCCACTGTTTGAATTGACTTTTAAGTCTCTAAGAAACAATGGGCTCGTTTGGATTTTGGCGTTTCAGCCTCCTACCCGCTGCAATTTGCAGCGTTTCAAATGTTATTTGAATGACGTTTTAGGCTCAATCGCCAATATCCAAACATACCCAATATCAAGCCGACGTACCACCTCTATTACTAAGAAACAATATCAAGCCGATCTACTACCTCTGTTTCCCTAAATTGGTACAATAGGAGTGGTGTGGTTTCCAAGAAAAGTGAATTTATATGGTTGGTATTGAATTGATAAAGTGAAATAAAGTAAGAATTATTTAGAAGTACAAAAGTATTATGGAGTATCAAATTTGTTATGAGGCAATTTTTGTGGAACAGATTAAAAAGAAAAGCTGAACAATCTTACCACGATGGAAGATGTACTATTCAGGCATTGACTTCGGAGTACTATTCAAGTGTTTTGATATTTTTTTGTGGGTAAATTCAAGTGTTTTGATTGAGCTTTACCCGGTTGAATTCAATATTATTTTTTCCCAATTCCTGCCTTTTGGGTAACATTAAAATTAGTTGAATTAGACTATTTTGTTGAAATTTATGAAGTTCTAACTGAAGTGATTGACCTGAAAATAATTCTAACTTTATTTATTTATTTATTTATTTTGATTATTACACAATTTGATTTTCACTTATGTAAAGCCTCACTTGAATAAGGTGTCGTTATCCCTATCCTCAGTCTCAGGGCCGTCTGCTATCATTTTTTCCTTCCCCAAATTTGTTTCCATTTCAAGGACCATCTTGAACATACCTTTTTCTCCGCAGACTCACCTTCATGAAAGAAGCGAAATTATAGTCTGTATCTTCTCCATGCATACCCTCCGATTGTATTTGCGCTCTTTTCTCAGTAAATGCACATAAATACATAATGCCATAATGGCTTCCACGGTTGATCTTAATTCTTTTTTGGCTAATTTATCTTTGAATTCCTTTTTTCCACTCATATTTCAATGGATTCTTTTCATTTAAGAGTTTTTTTTTACGCAATTAAGGTCAAATCACACTGAATTTCACATGGTGTATTAGTAAGATTCTTCTTTTTGTTTGGTTGTTTGGAGTATTATTGTCGATATTGAATTATAGAGTTTTTATAGGGGTGTATTCATTTGGGACTCTTTAGGGCGTGTGTTGATTTTTCGGTGTATTTAATTGAGACATTTTAAAACACTTTTGAAATCCTAAAATGTTCAGGTGTATTCAAAATGTCAAAGAAGCTTTGGATTTCTTTCCAACTAGGTATGTTCTTTTGAAAATTATCCTAAATATGACTAATGAGTTCCTTTTTTTTTTATCATAAGGCGCTTATATCATTAAAATAACATTCGGCGTGAGTACAAGAACTTGAAAGGACCACATGTAACTATCTGCCCTTGGCCGAGACTCTGAGTTTTTTTTTTTAAATGCCGAGACTCTGAGTTAATCACCCAAAACAAAGCAATATAACTCGCTAGACCTAATTTGGGCAAATTAAAGCAAACGACGTTTACCGCTGATCTCTCATCCCCCAAATCCAATGCAAAAGTCTTACAACATAAAATAAAATAACAACCAAACACAAACGATTGAACATGGAAATTAAAATGCAGAAACGATAAATAAGCAAACTCTAAATCGCGTCGATCAACCCTTGGAGGTGGTTCTGGGGAGGTCGAACCCTCGCAACAATTGTTGAAGCACCAAAGCGGTTTTCCTCCGACTCGACCGCCTCTTTTTCATCATTGTTGTTGCACCAAAGAGATTTCCCCAGACGCCAACCGGATGCCAGTAGATCTTGGAACCCCGGAAGACTAATATTCCGGTCCGTAATCACGACGCCGACCACCTGGAACACCACCTGCTCGTCGTCATCCTCCATTAGCAAATTTCGAGCTCTCCCCTTCTCTCCTTCTTGGCCGAAAGCGAACCAGACGTGCCCAGTATCCGGAGCCCTACCGAAGCTCGAAACCTTCCCAAAACCCCAGAACCAGCTTTGTGATTTCGATTATTAATCACAAGCCAAGAAAACAAGCCGTTCTTTGATCGGAAAATCCAAAACGGAAAAGAACGCCGTTCTTCGATCGAAGAAATCGAAAACAGAATAAAAATGCGCACTAGGTTTTACCCTAGGAACGACTGTAGTGAATAAGAAGATTAAAAATCCCAATAGGACTAATGAGTCCCTAAAAAGCACAAATAGGATTACTATTTTTAAATTCCCTAAATACGACTAAACATTTGATTTTCTACCCTAAATACTCCTAAGGGTATTAATTCATAATGAAATGCTTTAATTCATAATAAAATCATTAAAAAAATCGCAAAAAATAACAAAACTGGAAAAAAAAAATATAAAAAAAATAAAATAATTTTTTTTGAAAAAAAAAATACAAAATAGTAGAAACTCATAAAAAAATGGACACCTTTCCCACCGCCTCCCGGCACCACCACCTCCGATCGGTGAAATTTCTGCCACCTTTAGTAAAAAATGCTATCTTTTTTCTGACAAATGCCAAGAAAATGACATTATTACTCTTTAATATTGCAACATTTTCATAGAATCTGCCATCATTATAGCCATCATTTAAAATGTTGGCAGATTTTTCTCCGCTGATAAGAGCTGGTGGTGTTGGGGGCGACACTGGTGGCGGTGTTTTTTTTTTACGTTTTTTTTTAAAAAAATATTTTTATATTTTATTTTATAAATATTTTATTATTTTTGTGTTGTTTTTTTTACGATTTTTTATTATTTGTTTACAATCTTTATCATTTTTTATGATTTTACTATTAATTAGAACATTTCAAAAGTCACAAGGTATATTTGTTCAAACACACATAAATAGTCCTATTGAGTACATTTAAAAAATGGAGTTCTATTTATGTAATTTTGCCACTTTTTAGCTCAATTTAGGGAATTGACTCATGTGCTTTTATAGTTGGATAGTTTTGGAAACTTCAAGGTGATTATATTGAAAAAATCCATTTATAGTAACTTACTACGTGTAAATGTATCATTATATGACATACTACGTAATACATATCTTCCACGCCTGAATGGATAGAAAAGGATTTGAAGTTTCACTTGGACGGTGCTTGGATGCTTCTGTGGAAACTAGTGCTCCCCTTCCTAAAGAAACTAAAAATAATTATCCACAGTGCAAATAAAAAAAAAACTATACAGTGAACTAAGACCCCCCATCCCTTATCCATGAAATTAAATTCCCCAATTATTAAAATAAAAATAATGTACTCCGTAGTAAATAACTGTGGCATCGAGACTCGAGAGGCAAATCCTCCCATTTGTTTTGGAACAAGAATTAGGCATGAAACAAGTGTAGATGCAGCTGATGATGCATTACAGACTTGCGGTGGGGATTTCACTAAATACGGAGTAATGTTTTTTTTGTCGAATCTTTCTAACTTATTACGTAGTATAACATTTGTTGTTTGTTAAGGCCAACATTCTTGAACTGGGATGAGATTCTCAATGGTGGCTGAGTGAGCCAGTTGGGTTGAGAGCTCATGTTCAATTTGTGATAGCGACGGTGTAATAGTTTCATCCAATAATTGACACATTGGTGGGAGATAGAAGTTCGAATCTAAGATTAGTTTTATATTTTATGTTAAAGACTAGAAAATCAAAATCTTATCATCATCCATTACACACATTATTACACGTGAGGTTTTAACATTAAAATTAGGAAAAATTCTCGAGATATGTGCAGTCATAGTGACTTGCATTAGTGACTTGTCCGCATGCGAGTGATCGCCTTGACCTGGCACCACGACAACATCGATTAACTGATAGTGACACCGTTCTGACTTCCGATTAGTGACACTTACAGTCATAGTGCCATTTACATTAACCAATCCACCACACCCTCCAACCCAGCACCGCTTCCGTGGCTACCCTGTCCGCTACTAGCATAAACCTTGCCCTTGATGCTCCCCTGGTCAGTGTTACAGACCCTGACGCCAACGACCCCATCCTTAATGCCCGTAGACCACTTCTCCCGACCTAATGACACATGCACTGCCCCATAACACTGCCAAAACCCTAACTGTTACCATCCCACCTTAATCACCAAAAACCCAGTGAATGTGTCCTCAGTGCACTACCCATGTTAGCCTAGGGTATCACACTAGCCACGTGCACCATAACCACCTATTAGGGTGTGCCACAATCGATCTGAAACCCTATCCACGTGCACCGTTGGCACTATGATAAAATATGTAGTAGTCGAACTCAAATCCCCTGTGGTCAGGGACGGATGTATGTGTATGTGTAGGGGGGCCATGGCCCCTCCCAACTTTTTTATTTTTAGTAATACTACTATTATAAATGAAATAATCAGTAAAGATTGGGTCAAAACTATTCGATAGAAGCTTTTATGTGAGATGCTTTCGGGTAGAATTTTTTGATGAATTTTTGTGAACATGTATTTCATAAAGTGTATATTATATCCATCGTATTTCAGCTTACATGCAATTGGAGAGTCAATTAAATAAATTATGGAAAAACACTGAGTTTTTTATACGAAGTATATTTTTTAGTACAGTGTTTTTCAATAATTTATTTAACTGATTTGTCGATTGAATTTTAAACTGAAATTAGGTGTAAATAATCTACATATCATGAAGAATATTGTCATAAAATTTCACCCAAAAAATCCATCCAGAAGCACATCAAACACAGACATCTGGATGGTGGATCCCGTCATGTAATTCTGAAAGGATCATTCCTCATTAAAAATATGAAAAAATATGTTTTACTCCTCGAATAGATCTTATTTAGTTCTATTAAAAATTATTTGATTAAAGTTTGCCAAAATAGGAGTCAATAAGTCCTATTTTGAGATTAAAACAATGATAATCCTGTTTATGAACTTTTTTTGTCCTATTTAGAGATTTTTTCCTTTAGTGTTTGTGTTTCTTCTTGGCCCCCCTTATGACTGAGTTCTGGCTCCGTCCCT